TAACAGGTCAGATCTATGAAGAGGCAACCCCACTCACAGTGAGAATGCATGTTTTACAAGGCATATTTTCAGCAATAAAAACATATAATTGCACACACGCAAGATAAGATAGTTGAATCCATTTCTTTGCAAGATTATAGGCATACCAATTACATCTTCATGGAGTCAAGCTAGTGTCAAACCTACCACCAGAAAAGTCACAAAAGTGCACATTCAGAAACTGCGGTTACCATCAAACAATATTTAAGTGGTGACAATAGCGGCTGTATTTCCACTTGGCTTACCTCTAGAAAGAAGAGATGTGGTCTGGCTGTGCTACATACTTGACTAGGGTTGTGAAAAGCAGCTGGCTTTCAGTAGTGGGAAAACACCCTTCTTTTCTGTTTCACTTATCTTTCTGGCACTTTCCTTGTTATGCAATGAGGGAAGAGAACATTTCAAAAGGTTAACGAACTATTAACCGTTAACTGTCGATAAATGTTTCAGCAGAGTTGTCAAAAGTATCAAAAATCAGGCACTAATTGATACTAAAACAAGTACTGAAACTAGGTACATGCATTTTATTGTCTAAATAAGTAGTGTTTCTATTATCGTCTTGATACTGTAATTGGTATAGAGTACCGAGCCTTTTCCTTAGCACTGAAATAGAGTTTGAAATTTTATTATCATGACAACATTATATCACTTACAAGCAACATCTGCATCCTCCATTCATAATTGCCATAACTGACATAACAGACAATACAATACTAATGCTGATAAGTGATAAGGTCTTGGTCACGTTACCTTTCCTGGCCACCTGTTGCCTTGTCCACTAGCACACTGGAAAACTTCACCAACTTCTTGAATCTCGCAACTCATCTAATTTGTTTTCAACTGCTATAACAACCTTATGCAAAAGTCTCACACGTGGTCACTCAGCCAGCATAGTAAGACGTGTCACTCTAAAGTAGAACAACTAGCAGATGCTTTGCTACAGATAAATGCAGAAGGATTTCCTGAAATGAGAAAGTACACCAAAATAACACAAAATAGATCAAATTGTGTTAAATAAATATGGTGCAATCGTTATTCAAGTACATGCAAAATGACCATGTCCACAAAGTAAACACTGAAGGTGCATTATGTAACTTTTCTGGAACCTTCTTCCCTGTGTGTAGAGGAGTTTCCTGGAATGCTGCACAGTGTGACTTTAAATGCATCTACCGGTATGCTGCATTCATTCAATTATTTATAGCCCAATATACATCGAAAACATGCAATTGTAATATGAATGGGGTTGCCTTTCCACAGATCCGACCTATGACTTGGACTTGAGGTGAGAGTAACTCGATTGGTAGAGCGTTTGTCCACTGATCTGAAGGTTGGAGGAGGATCGAATCCCGCTCTCGACATAAAACATGATTGGTTGAAAGGTCAGATCCACTCACTCACAGGTTGGCTGATGTGATTCTACCTCCCACAGATGAATGCAGTCGTTGTGTCCTTGGGCAAGACACTTAACCCACCTCACCCCCAGGGTCTGTGAAAGCTGGTGTATTAATGTGTGAGTGAATGGATGAGTGGTTCCTTGTTGTAAAGCAGTTTGAGTGCTTTGAAGGTAGAAAAGCACTATATAAAATGTGATTGTGATTAAGTCCTACTTAGTAATTGTCAAATTTAAAGGTAAAAAACTTTTGACAACATTCTATTTAAATAAAAAACTAAAAAACTATGGGCCCAACCTAATATTGACACAGTGCAATAGCCACAGGTGTGACTAGTCCCTCTACACTGCATCATACCAAGACCTAAGCATATTACAAGGGACTTTAAACAACACCAACTCGTCCACCCGGTCAGTTGCATTTACAATCCTCAACATAAGTGTGCTTTTATGTTATTAAATACTCACTGGCGTCGCTTACAATGAACCCTGATGGGACAGGAGCAGCAGCAGTGTTGACACACGGAGACAGGAGAGGGAGGGTGGTGGGTCTGCACACAGATCTTCTTCCAATGTCACGTCCACAAGACCCGACGAGCTACTTTCTGCACCTCTGGCCACGGAAAACTCGCTAGCTACCCAAATGCGCAAAAGAGAAGGCAAAATGTGGCATGCTAGCGGTGGTTAGCTCCCAAATGCTACCTAGCTACAAAGATAGCAAGATGAAGATGTGCTTTTTCTGCTAGTGCACCGATCGCGCAGGTTGTAACTACATTTAAAGCAGTGTAAAAAGGATCGTGATCACATGAAAAGGTTGCGATTGGCAGCCCGGGTTTAATTTTGCAGAAACTTTTCTCCCAGCCTTGCTCCTTCTTGTGTAAAAAGCAGGAATTTCGCCATCGCGTACAGAGCCGTGTGCGCATGCGTAGTACAGCTAATTATGACGAGGGCCAAATTCCTGCATAAGAAATAAACATTCAGAATAAAAATAAAAAGTTGTATTATTTTTTTTTATTAAAGACAATAGAATATAACATTTAAACAAAATACAACAATAAAAACAAAACACAAAAACATTGAACAATAAATATAAAACCACAAAACTGCCCACCCCTTCCCTCCAAACACACACAAACAAATTTAATTAAATAAAACAAAAGTAATGTGGTAGTGCGACATAACCACACTGTTAGACCCTCATATATATTTATATTTATATTTATATTTATATTTTGGCCAATTTATAATATGATTTCCCTTTCTCTCTCTCTCTCTCTCTCTCTCTCTCTTTTCTCCCCATTTTTTAATAAACACTTTTAGTCACTATGCTTAACTAATATTATTTTCATCATCATCATTTAATTTCATCATCTTTTACTTTTTACTACAATCTTAGAGCATTTTCTTTTATAACAATAAATATAAAAACAAAACACAAAAACAATGAACAATAAATATAAAACAACTAAACTGCCCACCCCTTCCTTCCAAACACACACACAAACACATTTAATTAAATAAAACAAAAGTAATATGGTAGTGTGGCATAACCACACTGCTAGGTCCTCTTATATTTATATTTATATTTTGGCCAATTTTTAATATGATTTCCCCTTCTCCCCATTTTTTAATGAATACTTTTAGTCACTATACTTAACTAATATTATTTTCATCATCATCATCTCCTTTCATCATCTTTTACTTTTTACTACAGTCTTAGAGCATTTTCTTTTATAACAATAAATATAAAAACAAAACACAAAAACATAGAACAATGCCTACAATGAATATAAAACAACAAAACTGCCCACCCCTAAACCCACCCCTTCCCCCCAAACACCCACACGCAAACAAATTTAATTAAATAAAACAAAGTAATGTGGTAGTGCAGCATAACCACACTGCTAGGCCCCCTTATGTTTATATTTTGGCTAATATATCATTTAATTTCCCTTTTTAATAAACACTTTTAGTCACTATACTTAACTAATATTATTTTCATCCATCATCATCTCCTTTCATCATCTTTTACTTTTTACTGCAGTCTTAGAGCATAATTTAAAGGCATTTTTTAAAGGCATTTTCTTTTTTCATAAGGTCATGTGCATATTTTCTATTGTTGATTACAGTCACAAAACAGCACCAGTGAACTCTGAGTGCCCCATATGTGTAAATATAATAAATTACTGGACTGAATTGAACTGAATGACGTAGACAGAGTGACCAGATGTCCCTATTTACCTGAGACAGTCCCAGTTTTGAGCCCTGTGTTACTTGTCTCAACAAATTTGTCCAAAACCAGAACTCCACCAACAGTAAAAAGCCGAATATATTCGCATTTATTTAGATAAAATGTAAAAACCATGCTTGCAAATGACCATAAGACAGTCCCTCAAATTACGACTGGCAAGTGAGTAGAGAATGGACAATGTTACGAGCTCTTTTCACCATTTTATTTATACCAACCATCCTAACCCACATGTCTCCCAGTTTTTAGTTCTAAAAATCTGGTCACCCTAGACATAAAGCATTGATTTACCAGATTTGGTCCCATTTTGTACCCACCTACAAAAAGATATGACTGAAAAGATTTGTCATTCTCACAGTATGCATGACGTGGAGCATTGATTTTTCTGTTTTTGTCCAATTTGTAAATCTACTCCAATCACAGAGTGTCCAATCTCTGACTCCAGTACAAACATGGACTTCAGAATGATTAAACTCTACTCTTACCATATAAATTAGTCATTCAAGATTAAATATTATATCTTATGAGTGTGCAGAATTCCTCAAATGTCTCCCATAAACAGTTTGAGTTTAGTGGGTACTGATGAAGTTTATTTTTTATTTTATTTTATTCAAATAATACACATTGCTTTATAATCCAACAGCAAGACTGCATCTAACAATCATAACCAGGCACTGAATACAGAAGTCTATGGCCATAACTAATAAATAAATAACACACTCAAGCTTCTGCATTCATATCCACTTCATTGATTTCTATGATAAGCTTACATAATATCGCCATCTTCTGTTGAAGTCTAGTACTGCACTTGCTGGAGCATCCTGAGCAGATACATCCGTCCTTACTACACTGCATCAGATTAAAACGTGTAATCATACCTTTTGTACACATTAAGCGCTTTTTCGTTGTTCTAAATTACATTAAATATTATAGTATATATGGTATTTCAACTTTAGTGTAGTGGTTTTTCACATTCCCAGTCTGTGGTCGTATCACTGACTTCGCATTTTTGCTATTTTATTGGCGGAAACACTTAAATACAAGTTTAATTGTAACTGCATTTTTTATTATATAGAATTAATTTGCTAAATACGCCTCATCTAAGACACATAAATCAACAAAAGAATCACCACAATAATACAATTTACTTTAAAATGCTTTCTAAGAATTCCCATCCTTCCCATTCTTCTTTGAAAACTACTGCTCATAAAATTACTCAAAAAAATATGTGGGTCATTTCTAAATATAATGTCAGAATTGTTATTTTCTTATTGTATCATTAACTTTTCCTACGTCAGTGAACGCACCGCTGAATTACAGGAAGTCGGTGCAATGTTTTCCAAATGCAGTAGCCTGAGAAAGCTATCTCCACTATCCTACTCCCGTTCGCTTCTTTACTGCTTTGAGCTGTCGAAATGAACCTGTATGCAGCTTAAATGATCTTAAAATATGTTTCAAGTCCCATCGCTGTGTCTGCAAAACATAAGGAGTAAATCTTAGCTAAAACGAAGGCAAGGTAACGGAGCAGCAACAGTCCCGAAGCTACAGTACTTAGGTTCGTAGCTTAATAGTTGTTATAACTTATTTTGATCGCTTTAATTTACGAGCACAACATGCATTTTAACTAATTTTTACTGTGCTTTGCTATAACTTGTAGTTGTATTGGAAACAGATGTGTATAAAAGGATGACATGCTTTTGATTGCACTATTTGCTATCTTTATTTATCTGTCTTTATTATTTATCTATTCCTTATGTTAAAAAGTGTACAGCTCACTAAATGCAAGGTCTATGCAATAACAAGATGCTCATTTACCTATAACAGTTTGATTAAAAAATATTGAACATACAGTATTATCTATAATCTAGTTTCAATGTTTGATGTGCAACTAAACTCGTCTTTTCTATTTGTTTTTTCAGTGTTGTAGTATGCTGGACGTGGGCAAGTGGCCAGTCTTTGCACTCCTTCCACCAGAGGAACTGCGCCTTATCCGTCAAGCTTGTGTCTTTGGCAGTGCAGCCAACGAAGCCATCTATGTAACAGTCAATGACGAGGTAACACGAGGAAAATTTGGGATCGTTTCAACATTACGTCTCCGCTGCGATAAGATTAGAGTAATATTCTTTGTCAAACTGGGTAGGATGACTGCAGAGCTCAAAATAGACGGTCAATAATGGGTGCACTCCCAAGCACACCAGGATAAGCAGATAGAATGGAGCTATCTTTAGACGTATGGGCCTAATACCTAAGCAAGCACTGTTTACATCCTGTTCAAAAGAAGTATCACACACCTAATCTCTTTTACTGGGTTCAGCTTTGTAGTCAAACATGGACAAATATTGAAAAGAGATAAAAAAAAAAAAAAAAAGGGCTTACATTCAAGAGGTATTCTATGACAAAGCATTGCAGCTACTCTGCAGAAACAAAATCCCTTGTCATTATCACTAGTGGAAATCCAACAATAAAGAGCTGAATTTTAAAGTCCTCTGTAATGTTTGGTTAGAAACAGAGCCACTGAACTGGAACCTTAAATAAAATGTTGTATATATGTTATCATTAAAGGTGCATTTTGTAACTTTACTGGTGGAGAGTCTGTCAAATGCTTTTCTCCATGGAGATGTTATTACCAGTACTTTGTTTAGAATGTTTCACAGTATGGTATTAAGTCTTTTTATCTTCATGAAGACCAATCCAGGCCAAGTTACAGGTCAGATCTGTGGAGAGGCAACAGTCAATTTTTGAGCTATAAAACCACCTGTGATTTAATAAATGTAAGGTAGCGCTGTTTAATGTCATATTTGACTTATTTATGGTTAATATCCTTATCTATGTAATGACTGGGCTTATCTATGTAAAAGTCCAGCGTCTTCTCAGTCAGCATAAAAAAAACAAAAGTGAAATTATGCTTTCACAATAGCTGTATAAACTGGTGCTATTATTCAACTGCAAAAATGTGACTGTTTCAGGTGAAGGGATTTTATTTTAAAGTCATAAGATTGACCTGTTTGTGGAGCCAGCGCCTAACAAATAGTTCAATATTTGTGGACTTTCTGCTTGGATATTTCTTTAAAAAATGGGTAGTTTCCCATAGAGTTCCATAGAGCCCTGCACTTCATCTGAAATTGTAGAAGGTGTGCCACGTAGAAATTGCATTGCATTGCACAACTTTTCTGGTGAAGGATTTACTACTTCCATGGAGATGTGCATTCCATAGTATGACAGTAAACATATCCATCTAGCAATTATTAATTACGGGTGTTTCTACTGCTCAAAAATACATAAGTTCTTCTTCAAGTAGGAGTAACTGTCTACAGATCTAAATTTTTATGTAGTGTAGTGCTGTAACCTGCTTGTCTTCATTGTGCTAGATAGATTTAATCTATATGGTACTCTTGAACATTCTAGATCGGGGTTCTCCAACCTGTAGCTCGGGAGCTACCAGTTGCTCTTCACCCCTTTCCAAGTAGCTCTCCAAGGGATTTCGGAATTATACCATTGTGCGGAATAACAAAAATGTGGTTAATTACATACCCATTACTGTTTTAAATATATAAATTTGAAGCCCAACCTTGTGCACTAATAAATGGACAATGATTTATGTTTTATAGGCATCTAACTGTACCCAAAGATTCACCCTCTTTCTAATAATCGTCTCAATTTCTTGCAGCCACTAAAATAAGTAGCTCTCTGGCATTTTTGTTTTGTGTGTCACTAGAGGAAAAATGGGAGACCTCTGTTCTAGATAAAGCAATAACATTTCCATGTAGACAAGCAGGTGGCGGACCCTCCTCTAGAAATGTTACACAGTGCACCTTTTAATATTTGATGAATACCTCTGAACTTCTGTTTTTTCAAAGACAGTGTCAAAATATCCCACATATTGAATGGCACCAATACATTTCCAATAATAGTTTCCATTCCCACATAAATAATGCTGTTTTTCTGTGTCTTGTTTGTAGGTGTTTGCGCTGGGTACCAACTGCAGTGGCTGTTTGGGGCTGGGAGACCTTCAAAGCACCATCGAGCCGCGGAGGATTGATGTTTTATGCGGAAAGAAGATTGTGTCTCTGAGCTACGGAACCGGGCCTCATGTGGTTATCGCTACAGCAGGTATCTAGGACTCTTTTATCTGTGTGCAAAGGGGGGTTTGCACAGGAGACCTCAGAGACATATTACAGCATTAGACACGACACTTTGCTCTGTTTTTGTGATTATGTAAGCTTTGTGGGTGAAGTAAATGGGTGGGTGAATCATGAATGGGAATGAGTGGTGTCACGATACAAAAATTTCAAACTCTGATTTCAGTACTAATGAATAGACTTGATACCTAATACCGATTTTGTTACCACGTTGATAATAAAAAAACACTGTATCTTTCGCCAATGTGATTTTCAGCACTAAATAATAGTACTTTTTTTCATATTACCATGTACAAAGTTTGGACACACTCTCTAATTCAGTGTTTTTTTTTTAAATGTTTCCCACATTCTACATTTTATATTCACAAAACATCATATATATGTAGCAAGATATATGGAATTAGGTAGCAAAGAAAAAAAGTTAAATAACACTACTTAATATTGTTTGAAAAAGCAAAAGGTAGCTATTTTAAAGATTTAAATACTCTTATTCTTAACTACATGATTCCATATATCTTGTTTCATATATTTTATGTTTTCTTTGTGTATCTAAAATGTATAAAGTAGGAAAAATAACGAAAAAAAAAAACACACTGAGTAACATTTTGACTGAAAGTCAAAGATATCAATCGCATGTATTGCAAAATCATGATTGTACTGTGAGCTGTGTGTATTGTATCGAATATCACTCTTGTGATTTCCAGCCCTAATTTTGAAAGAGAATCTGTTTATAATGATGGATGTAGTGGTGTTTGAGGGAACTTGTGAGGTTAGATAAGGGTAGATCTGGTGAGTCATGAACGGATGAAAATCTAGATCTCATTTTTATTATATAACTGTTCCTCTTCTAAACTTACAACAATAACGATTTATTGATGTAGTCTGAGAAGTCTGTCCAAAAGAGTATTCTTTGAAGATAGTAGCTGTTTGTAGATCACTAAAGAAAGGGCATCTTTTATTCCACACAAGAACCAAATTTTTAGTAAAAGTCATGGCACAAAATAAAAATACAATTGACTACATGACCTTGGGCATTTGTAGATATTTTTTGAATAATTTTACTTCTCAACTCTCTCAAACCAAAATTATTTTTCCCATAAATTTTAGAAAATAGTTTAGTAATAATTGAATAGTTATAATTTTGTATAAATTTCACAGATCATTTATGAAAAAAAAACAAACACACTTCTTTAATCTATAATAGAACCTGTGAAACTGCGAAGCCTAATGCTCTTGTTTGTCTGTGACTTAAATCCTGTCCCCTGTGATACTGTGGCACTAAAGCGGGTAGTATAAATCTTAGAAAGCACCTGCTGCACTTCTGCTCCCCATTAAATATTAACCTTTAGCTGATGTTTGCCTTCTGATTTTCAGATGGAGAAGTGTTTGCTTGGGGACATAATGGCTACAGCCAACTGGGCAATGGGACCACCAACCACGGCCTGACGCCTGCTCTTGTGTCCACCAACCTCCTCAGTAAGAGGGTCACCGAGGTGGCCTGTGGCTCCCACCACACCATCGCGCTCACCACAGATGGAGAGGTGATTCATCTATTTGTTTTCTGCATGATTTTACCCAAGCCCTGTCACAAAGCAGTGTCCCCAAATCTGGTTAAAACATGCAGTCTGTGAGGAACACTGCACAGCACAATGGATATAATTGGAAATCATATTTTATAAGACGATGAGTTTTAAGTATTGTTCTTTACCTTCTTGTCAGGTTAAGACTTCTACCTTCTCATTTCACTTCATGATAATTAATTAATGATACATAAGAGCCAGATTTTCCGTGTTATTTATGTTATATTTTCATGAGAAATATCCAAAAGAGAAATTCATAAAAGCTGAACCTCATCATGTTTATAACAAACCAGTGTGCTGTTAGTATACACAGGTGTGTCCTGAGATATTGCCAGTTGTGCCTAGGAAAATTCCAATATCATTTAAATTAATTCTCTCATGTTTTTAATTGAATAATTTACCATTTTTGAGTGAGCAACTTCTGAATCACTTGAGAAAGCAAAGCAATCACAATTGCCTCAGGAAAGTATATGAATATTTTTCTTGCATGTTTTTATTCAGTAATATTTCAGTGGGTGATGTTCTGTGGAATCAAGAAAAGGTTGAAAAATATTGGACTAGACCCAAGAACTCACTAAAATCAGCATTTTAACAATTTTGCTGCCCCCTATTGGAATTATATCGTTCAATATTACTGGCCTATGGAATTTGAAACCAGCAATTTAGTATGCTTTAGTAGCAAAGTATTTTGTGTGATTGCTCAGGATGAACATACGTAGTTGATGTTAACAAATACATACATGGTGAGTTTATTTAGGTATTTATTTTTGGCAGTTTCTTTTTATTACAACAAGAAAATGCCCCTAAACTAGAACTTCCATTTTTCTCCGTGACATGTTTTACTTTTACCACTCTGCACATATTAACTGAATGTAACAATTTTATCTCTTGTGTCTTTAGGTGTTCGCCTGGGGATACAACAACTCAGGTCAGGTGGGTTCAGGCTCCACAGCCAACCAGCCCACCCCCCGCCGAGTCAGCAGCTGTCTGCAGAACAAGGTGGTGGTGAACATCGCCTGTGGACAGCTCTGCTCCATGGCCGTGCTGGACAATGGGGAGGTAATGTGTGACAACTCCGAGAGATGTTTAACACCACTACGTCACGTGAGGGCAGAAGAGCAGGTTTATTCGTTATGGGTCTGAACTGTGTATTTCTTTTGGTTTGCAATTAAGCTTTTAGATAAAGCTCCAGTTTGCAGCACTCATTTCAAACATATTCACCACTATAAGAACTGTAACCTGTCAACATGGTGTAAAGGTAAACTACAGGGTTAGCAGAGTTTATTCAAGACTGAATGCACTCAGGATGTTTTGTTGTTTGCCGAGGTAGTCATGCTGCTACCTGAACAAAGACAGCTATTGCAATTTCCTAACCATTGCAAACACTCAAATTGCAGTTTGAGCTCATCCGGCAGCCTTTTTTATCCTATTACAATATGTCAAGACTAATTAAAGCTGTTAAAGACTGTTCAGAATGCTGCTAAAAACACCTGGTTCTCCTTTATTTAAAAGACGTATACTCTTAGTGACTTAGTTGCAAGCACTCTTGTTTGCTCGATAAGTAGGCATGGGACGATATTGTAATTTGGTGTCACGATTATCATGGTCGATTAGCGATTATATCACGATAATGATTAAAGCTGCAGACAGTTTAAAAATGTTATGGATATGAATAGTTACCGTTTTGATGTTATGAATAAGTTCCATATTTAAGCAATTGCTATGGAATTTTACCTTGTTATAAGTGAAAAAAACAGTGATCTAGATGCAATCATCATGGATAAGTGGCTTTTTTCTGCACATTCTGCTGATAAAATGTTGATTTATATTTGTTGGTGATTATCACGATTACACAAGATGTCCCACAAATGATTATTGTGTGCCCCTTTTTTCACAATAAACGATATTATTGTTTATTGTCACATACGTATCAATAAGGTAGAGGTAATAATAATAATAATAATACATAACACTTGTATAGCGCTTTTCAAGATACTCAAAGATGATTTACATGAAGAGACAAACAAAGGCAAACGAGAAAAAGATAGTTAATGGAAGTTTTTTTTTTTTTTTTTTTTTTAAGAGATGGGTTTTCGGGGCTTTTTTCAACATGTGGAGTGTGGATGAGTCTCTGATGTGTTTGGGCAGGGAGGTCCAGAGGTTGAGGGCAGCAGCAGAGAAGGCCCTATCCCCCCAGGTCTTATGTTTAGTCTTGGTGGGGGGAGACAGGAGGTTGGCGTCAGCTGATCGGAGGGCACGGGTGGGGGTGTGGTGGTGTAGGAGCTCAAAGAGGTAGATGGGGGCCAGGTCGCGGAGGGACTTGTACACAATGGTGAGGAGTTTAAATTGAATGCGCTGGGGGACGGGCACCAGTGAAGATCTCTGATGTGTTCACAGTGAGGAGACGGGCAGCAGAGTTCTGGATGGTAGTTGTGACTAAGCCTAGATAAAGATCTGGAGACCGGACTCGTGACACTCACTGCTCCTGACGCGTTGCCCCAGCTGAATTGAAGGATATTTTTAAGTTAAACATAAACAAAGGGAAATCTATGCAAATTAGCCATGTACTTACATTTGTTGTTTGCTTTGGAGCATATACGTTATTTAGTAGAGCTGTGTCTCTGAAGAACGGACAGTCATAGAAAATTCACTTCATTGGTTACTGATTTACAGTCTACTGTTTGAAAAGCCATGAAAAACAACATATGAAGAAAAATATTTGACAGAGTTTGTTAGAGAAATGGCCATACTTGTTAGAAAAGCACAACATCCTTATAAAACATGACATTACATTAGTAAACGTACATATTTTTCTTGTTCCAGAGTACTTATTTTATACTAATATGCAGTACATTTCAATAATACAACACTTTAAAAAAAAAAAAATTCTGCTGCTACATTTCAGATTTATGGCTGGGGCTACAACTGCAATGGACAGCTCGGTTTGGGAAACAATGGCAACCAGCAGACCCCCTGTCGGATCGCAGCTCTTCAGGGGGTCGGTATTGTCCAGGTAAGTGTTCATAGCCTGCTCATGTATAGGCACTGATATCCAGATAAATATATGTTCTGTATGTCTGCTCTATCCGTAGGTGGCTTGTGGATACGCGCACACACTGGCCCTTTCAGACGAGGGGCTGGTCTATGCCTGGGGAGCCAACTCCTACGGACAGCTGGGGACAGGAAACAAGAGCAACCAAGCCCTGCCCACTCTCATAAACACAGACAAGGAGAGGTGAGTTTACGATCTGAGGGTTAATTTTGTATGTCTAAAGCCTAACGCACACCAGGATGCTTTGATGCCGCCTCCATTATTTTCAATGAGCCAGAACACACCGGACGCTCTACCGCCGCGGGGTTTGTTGAATGAAGACATGGGAACACGTCTGTCCTACAAAGGCAAAAGAGCTTAACTCGGCTAGTGTGTAAAACTGAGAAAAATTACTTCAATGTTTATGTTTTGTCCTGACAAAAGTATAATAGGCAAGGCTCCCAAAATTTGACAGTTAGTTGCTATAATGAAGAAATATTTGTATGCGAAAAATAATGAGCTCAAAATGTGATCTTTGACCCTTATTTGGCAGTTTCTGTGCTCTGCCTTTGTATCATGAGCCAAAAATAAGGAGTCGTGCAAAGGCAAAAGGCAGAAACTAACATGATTATTTGCTTCATTTTCCATTATTTTCCATTATAAGTACACCTCACCAAGGTCGAGTCATCATAGTGCAATAGTGTTTGAAATGATATAGAAGAGCTTTGAATTTCCTATTTAGTTATCAGGACTGTGCGGCAACACTTACACAGTTAAACAGTTTGACAGACATGTTACTCTGCAGTATAGTATGTACAGTATGAATAAATACACCAAATACTTTCACATTAATGGTAATTTAAGTATAATTGAATACAAAGGAATTTTAATTTAATGTTTTGAGACCCTGTGCCAAGGCCGCAGCAAAAAGATGGAGGCGAGAGGTTGGATTTTGAAATAAAATATATTTATTAACTAAATCACAAACAAAACATTCATTGTTACCGTCTTTTGCCTTTGCATGACTCCTTTTTTTTTGGCTCATAATACAAAGGCAGAGTACAGGAACTGCGAAATACGGGTCAAAGATCAATTCTGAGCTCAATATTTTAATTTATTCACATGATAAACGAAGTTTCCAATACCCCCAAAATGATATTAACAAATATTTACAGCATTCTGCCTTTGTAGGTCAGACATGCTGTCATCAATAGAAAACTCTGCAAAATAGAACTTTCTAATTCCTGCAATTTTCAACTTTTTTTTTTGCATTTCTTTGCAAATTGCTCGATTGGGGTAAAACTAAAATTTATATTTACAATGTGTATTATGCCACCAAATTAAGTCACAATACTCACTTTGAAAATAACCAAATGTAAGTAACGGACAACACTTCTTGAATTTATTGCTGCTTAATGTACACATTTATGCAGCACTTGGAGGTGTCTGAAAACTTAATCATAATGACTCATGCCGTTACACCTCTGCTCTGAGAAAGCACTGGGCACAGAAACTCTACACTTTTTAATGAACTTTATGGACCAATTTAGGTGCTTTGTATATTTTTTTGCATCTAGTTTTTCTTTTAAATTATGGACTGAGGGTTATTTGTGTCTAAAATAAAGAATAATAAACAATAATAATAATTGCGTGTGTTGTCTCGCAGGATGGTGGAAGTAGCAGCCTGCCACACGAGCCACACGTCTGCAGCTAAGACCCAGAGCGGGCAGGTGCTGATGTGGGGTCAGTGCCGAGGTCAGGCCGTGGCCAGTCCTCACCTCACTCACTTCAGCTCCACAGACGACGTGTTCGCCTGCTTCGCCACGCCCGCCGTCACCTGGCACCTCCTCTCTGTTGGTAATACAAATAACACTCATACACCGGGAACATTAACAACTGAACTTGTATTTTATTAGGTTTAGAATGGAGCATGGAGTTGACTATTATATATTATTTGGTCTTGTTTAGGTATTTTGATTTTTAACAAAAAAGGTGAGAGTAACTAACTGAACTGAGCTTAAATCATCTCACCTGTTGTAGTTGCAGCTAAATCAGCTCTTTCTGGTCCAATAGTATTAAAACAAAACTCGGTGTCAATGTGCATTCATTTATAAAAACAATCAAGACTTGCACTGAATTTAAAGAAATTGAAGATCAGTTGCTAAATGCAGAAACAATCAAGGTGAATATAAGTAAATTTTACAACATTATTTCAAACAAAGGTCAATCATCATTCCCAAGGTTAAAGAAGACATGGGAGAAGGATCTAAAATTGACTTTAGAAAATAACACTTGGTCAATAATGTGTGAAAAGATATATTTTCCATTTACCAGTAATAAAATTAAAGAAGCAATTTTTAAATTCCTACATAAATATTATCTTACACCTGTAAAAATGAATAAAATATCAAAAGATATCTCTACAAAATGCCCTTTTCCATCCTTTTATGCAAATAAAAGGATGGAACATATTGTCTATGTATAATGTATATGTATAATATGTATTGTTTGGTTGGGGGGTGGGAAGGGCAGAGACTGTTTACTATTTTGTTTTATGCTTTTTATTTTATAAAAAAAATAGAAGTTGAAAAAACAAAACAAAAAAAAACTCAGATTAAAGTCTAACTTCAGTCACAGAGCTTCAGACTGTGTAGCATCACACCCCCAGGGAATGTTGACATCCGCTGCAAAGTATTCATATTTTACCCTTTTAATTAACTTAGCATAAATAATTTAATTAATAATTAAGAATATCTGCCATTTTTAAAGCAAGACAATAGAGATGTCACTTGGAAGGAAGCATTAAAAAACTGGGCAGTGTACCTTTAAGAAATTGCAGTTGGGTGACAGGTTATGAAAACAATAATGGTATGAAGCTGCTTTTGAGAGGAATTTTCACTTTGTCCCATAAGCACTTGCACACAGAAGTCAGATGTATGGAAGGAATGTGTGTCATGGAATGTGGAGAGGCAGGAACAAACAGGATACAAGCTTCCTTCTTTTGTCACAGACTCTTGGGGATTGATCGGTCCTATATGAAGTGCTCCCCAAATGAGAAAGAACATTTTAGTGTAAAGTTTACTATGAGAAGAAACATTACAATTTAAATGTGTATTGTGTAACTTTTCTGGTCGAGGTTTCATCAAATCATTTTCTCTGTTGCTTTGACTTGAATGTTTCACACATATTTACGTTTCACAGTTCTTCTCTCAAACTAAAAACACTTTGTTCCACCTTTTGATGTCAAGTGTCAATACACAAAGTTCTCCACTGTATTTTTAAACTCCTTACACATTCACTAGAATCATTTGGATAATTTCAGCTCTGGAATCGCCAATCTCTACTGAACTAAAGGTAAAAAGGAGCTGTTAACTTTAGTTAGATCTACAACTGAATGACATCACAAGGTGGAACAGAGCATTTTGAGCTTTGGGGATGCAGACAGCCTAATAATCCAATAACTTAAACGTGTGAATGAAACCAAACACATCTCCAGGTATGTTTTTGATGAGGTAACAACATTCTAACATGGCTTAAAGCTCAAAGAGTCAGAAAAACTGGGACTAGCCTACGCATTTCAGTACTTTTGTTTTGTGAATCTGCCTACACTATACTAAACTATTGATTAGTTTGGTTTAGTTTAGTTTATTAGTATATTAGCCAGTGCACATAAAGGTCATATGTTTGTGCCAGGTTATAGCAATATTGCTTACACCAGGGGTCTCCAATCTTTTTCCTCTGGTGAGCTATTTTTACAAAACGAAAATGCCAGAAAACTACTAGTTTTTGCGGTCACAAGAAATTGAGTGAATATAAGAGTCACTGCCTTAGATGAGGTACAGTCAGATGTGTATAAAACATAAACCATTATTCATTTATTAGTGTACAAAACTAGGCATGAAAGTTATAAGTGTACAATAGTAATAGGCATTTAATTCGTCAAAATTTTATTTATTCAGCACAGTACATATAATTCAGAAATCCCTTGGCGAGCTACTTGGAAGGGCATGGAGAGCTACTGGTTGGAGACCCCTGGCTTACACCCAAATAAAATAAAATAAAATACAAAGTATATTAACGCAATCATTCATCCAGTCAATCAATGAGTAAAACTAGTCTCGTTCAGTCTCAGTCATCACATCCATACACGTTTGTAGATACTTTGCAAACTATTATATTGTCTTTTGTGTTTACAAGATGGCGATGACTACCTGACCGTCGCTCAATCTCTGAAGAAGGAGTTTGACAGTCCAGAGATCTCAGACCTCAAGTTTCTAGTGGATGGAAAATGTATTCATGTCCATAAAGCCCTGTTGAAAATCAGGTGAGTGCAAAACCAAGACTCGAGACACATGACAGTAAACAAAATCAGTATTATCTAAAGGCCTTTGTTTTTATTAGAACCTAGATTCCTTGTACTTAGCAAGGTTCAGGGTTCCCTTAGTTGAGTTGCATCAGATTTATCCACTATCTGATAGTCTTGACCAAACCTGACATTGAGTGATGGGTGAAATGCAAAGGGCAATTCCATTACAGGTTGGATTGTATGGTACATTTGACCCATCCTTGAACGCCAATGGGGCCACCTGTCAGGAGCAGTGATCTTCAGCTCTTGAGTTAACCTTGGTCAAAACTAACTACATGGACCAAGGTACAATATTCTTGGGTTTCAGCTTCCTGTTACATCCAGTTAACATTTTGAGGACTTTTCCCTCATGCAGAAGATATAATATTTTTTCAAAACGAATCATGGGACTCCAAAGAAGTAAAAATCACACGAGAAATCAAATTTTTTTAAATCATTTTTCCAAGCGCACCCTCTATCTGCTCTCACTGATTGGAACACCTGCAGCAAGCATCCACATTTTTGTTTTTTCTGTACATATAGTATTTTGTTTTAAGTGTTAATCACAGTGGTAACGCTCCTAATTCACTTGTACATGAGAACTGCATGCTTAAAATGCTTCTTGAGGCATCAAAGTAATCTTTGAAACAACTGCATATACAGAAATATATATATGTTTATCTAATAAGAAATAAATAAGCAACTGCAGTTCCTATAAACTGTTTTTCTCCATGCATGAAATCACTTTATCATTCAATTACACTTCCGTCACGCTTATCTGTGCGGCAACTAACAGCCACTTATCTACCACATGAGTCACTATACTTCCAGTGTCTTCATAACACACTTTTTACTTTCTGCTTGGGCTCTTCTTGACTGCGTTAGCCTCCAATTTTCTGAAAACAATTGTCAGATACTAATACATACTAAAATTAGATCCTCGAGGCCACATTCACTGATTCCTGAAAAGCTTTAGAATGATCTTGAGCTGTATGAAATTTTAGTATCATGACAACATTAATTTGCAGTGGAATTTATTTATTATTTATTTACTTGTTGTGGTGGTGAATGGACAAAACTGAAAATAAACTTGGACTTCCTAGTTGGTCTTGTATTTGTTTACGACCACAGCATTTATTTTTCCCAAGCTGCTCATGCTGCCGTACTTGCTGAGTAACAAAACATATGCAGCCGTTCTATTTGAGGTAAACTGTTGTGTAGACCCCACTCTCGCACACATGTCTGCCATGTTATCGTATCCATGTTGCGGCGCCTATATTTAAGTACCATCTGTTGTGCGCCGTTTCCTCGTCTTTCCTGTTAATGTCACAGGGACGCAAACGCAGACATATTGTTTCCTCTTTTGTCTTTTTATAACCAGACGCACACCCACAGAGACACGCACACACATACATACATACATATAAATATACATCTAAACATACATAGATACATATGACATACATACATAGGCAAGGCAAGTTTATTTGTATAGCACAATTTGTACACAAACTAATTCAAAGTGCTTTACAGAATAACAAAAACATTAAAATCACAATCAAAACAAATCAAAACATAAATAATCATCATAAAATTAAAGATTAAAATAAATTAAAAAAGAGAGAGACATTAATTACATAAATTAGAGAGAAGAGTGCCGAAAACATTTCAGTCATATGAGTCAAAGTAGAGGCCTGTCTCACATCATACAAACATACAAATATACATACATACATACATACATACATACATACATACATACATACATACATACATACATACATACATACATACATACATACATAAACATACATACATACATACATACATACATACATACATACATACATACATACATACATACATACATACATACATACATACATACATACATACATACATACATACATACATACATACATACATACATACATACATACATACATACATACATACATACATACATACATACATACATACATACATATAAACACATACATACATACAGATAAACACATACATACATACAGATAAACATACATACATACATACATATAAACATAGATATAAACATATAAACATACATACATACATACATATAACATACATACATACATATAAACATACATACATACATACATACATATAAACACATACATACATACAGATAAACATACATACATACATACAGATAAACATACATACATACATACATATAAACATAGATATAAACATATAAACATACATACATACACACACATACATACATACACACATACACACACATACATACATACACACATATAAACATACATACACACATATAAACATACATACACACATATAAACATACATACATACACACATACACACACAGAGTCAGTACATTCCAGCCAGCGCTCATTTGCACCGTCAGGAGGAAGGAGCCAGACAGTCTACCCCGGCACTCACTGCACCCACATCACATGCAGCTGACACCCCAAGATGAGAGGAAAGGCTGAACTCTGACCACAGTGAGGAGTCTGAAGATAAACGCCGTGTGTCATCACAACATATTCCACCGTGTAGAAACATCTACAGATGCACGTATCCTGGTTTTTCAGTTCCGACACACATATCAGTACTATGTCTCTACAAATATCCGATATTAACCGATACCAGGGATACCAGTAGGGACTGAAAATGTTTTTTTTTTGTGCTCAAAATACACTTAACTTGTTACAAAATTGATCTAATTCTGTTATGAAGCTGCTACTTAGTCTGCAAATAACTAGTGAATCACTTTATATGAATTAAAGTTCAAACATTGTGAGACATCCTGAGCCTCAGTCAGTAAAGAGTTCAACCCTGGATGTTGACTGAACCAATATCATGGAGCCAATACTTGATACTGCAAATTTTCCTGGATTGCCATCAGTATTTGACACCTGTACCACATCGGTGCATCCCTTGAAATATCAGTATTATATTAATTGATTTAACAAATATACATGATTCTTTGTAGATGTGACATGTAGGGCTGGGAAATATAACACTGTTGATATATGGTGACGTATTGGTGATGATAGGAAGTTTTGATAACTGCACAAGCTCTGCAAATAATTTCCTCTTAGTTGTGAGGGGAGGCAGATGGAGATTGTGGCTAACTGCTACCACAAATGCCTAGAGCGACTTAAAACACACTGTGGAGGCTCTGCAGAGACTCAAAATTAAATAATTAAAGAGGTAACATGTGAGGAGTGGAAACAATTTATAGCCATAACTTAAATAGCTTGAAAGAAGTTAAGTACAGATATTATAAAAGCCACTATTAAGCAGTTGGGGTGGGACAAGATACAGTTTAAGGCACGAGACAAGATTTGGACATTATTTGAACTTAATAAATTGTGCAATCCAGTTCCCAATTTTGGCCTGACTAATTTTGATTTCCTTATTTCATATGTCTGCTTTCATTGTAACACAGCTTTTTAGGACTCTCGCTTCTCAAAAAATGTAACTGGCTAATATTTGACTAAATTTTTTATCTAATCCAGATGGAAAAACATGGGAAAAAAATCCCACATGATCATTTTCAGCATGTGTGCACAACCTTGGGGCAATTTTGTCTCACGGGATTTTGTGGAACCAGATCTTATCCCATTTCTATTAAGCAGCCTTCAGCTTTTCGCTTTTATATCATCACACTGCCTTGGTTATGTCTGCCAGATGTGACCAAAATTATTATAAACCGAATAAAATGGTTGTCCAAATTATCTTTCTGAACATACACAATACAGACTTTTAATAATTGTCATTTAACACGAAATATTTAACAGTTTCTACCCCCAAATTTTGATTATTTACAATTAGAAATGACTCAGTCGTGATAAAAATGTAATTAAATGCCCTACTTTATCGGCATTATTTTCTAGTTTTCAGTTTGAATGTGGAACATAATAATGAAAATGTTATAATTCAAATGAACGATTATCCAAAACAATGACATTCACTGTTCTTATTTATTTTATATTTACATGAATCCTTTTCCTAGTTTTAGGTTAACCACAGGTGCGTCAAACTGGTTTAGAAATTAACTTTTAACCATATTAGTGACGTCTGAATTAAAATCAACCATTAAAGAAAATTACAAAACATTTTTCCTTACCTTTTTCATTATCTCTTTTCCAGGTGTGAACATTTCCGTGCACTTTTGAACGAAACCGATGAAGATGCCATTGAAGTCCATCAGTTCTCCTACCTGGTGTACCGAGCCTTCCTGGAGTATCTCTACACCGATACCATCAACCTGCCACCAGAGGACGCTATTGGTGAGACAAAGTACCAAACCTGTCAGCAGATCTGTAGTGAAGGCCAGAGATTAGAGAGAAAGTGAATGTTTTCGTAGCTATTACTTCATTAACTGGTATAGTACCAGTGCTAAATATTTATTATATTTTTAGACAAGTCAAGAAGTGGTTTGTAAAGAAAAAAAACTTAAAAAATTATAAAACATTCTGATTATGAACTATATATTCTACAAAATTTCATAAAAATGCAGAAATAATTTACACAAAAGGAGAAAAAACTTAAAGGTCCCGCTTGTCTCCATGGAGTTATTATTGCTTTGTTAGGAATGTTCTGTAGTATTACATTTAATGATCTAGCATTTATTCAATCACATGTGTTTTTAATGCTCAAAAATAAATTAGGGGTAACCTCTCCACAGATCTGAACCGTACGTTTCACTGGTGGGGGTTACTTGCTTGTCTCCATGGAGACAGATACTGTACGTTTAATATTCAGGGTTCCCACGGTCATGGAAATCCTGAAAAAGTCATGGAAATTAATTAAATTGCCCCGTTTACATGAGAGCTTTAATACTGATTAAAAATAATAAAATTTAGAATAAAAATTAATTCTGCTTTAAAAAACACCATGTAAACACTTACTCATAATTAAAGTTATTTGGAATTCAAATTAAATCCGAATTAAATGGGTGGTTTATTCCGATCATGTAAACGTTTCCAGTCCTGGAAAAGTCATGTGATTTTGTAAATTCAATGAAATGGAAAAGTCCTGGAACTTTAGTATCTCTGGCAACTACAGTGTTGTGTTAAGTTATCATTAGGCTGTTATGATTATTCCCAAGTGTATGCACCTTTTGTTTAAAAGAGACGATAATAAATGCACTGACAGTATTTTGAAAGTTTAAAAATATGTAATATAATACAATACTATAATACAAACCATAATGTGAGTGAAAAGGGTTAACATTTCCTATTTAGCCCTAAAAGTATGATCAGTTCTACACATGTAGGTGCCATCATGGAAAATTCATTTTAGGTCATGAAAAAATCATGGAAAAGTTTAGAAATTCTGTCAGTGAAAAAGAGTGGGAAACCTGAATATCATACTGTACATTCCTAGCAAAGAAAAGAGCTCAGAGGTGTTTTAAGTCTTGTGTGTAAAACCTACTTTTATTCTCTGGCTTTTAATACAGCGGGAGTTGTGTGGTCCTCTGTCTTTTATTTATTTATTTTATTTATTTTACATATTTACTGCTATTTTATGATTTTTATGATTTTGCTTTTATTTGATTTGACTGGTTTTATTGTTTTACGACTGGTATGACATAATTTTAGCAATTTATGTTTTGGTGATCTTCATTTTATGATCTTTGTGCAGCACTTTGAAAACTGCTTTGTTTGTAAAATGTGCTGTATAAATAAAGTGGATTTGGATTTTGAGAGTAGAAAGACAGATTACTAAAACCCTCCCGCAGAACAGTTGCATAATATACCTTTAAGCAATTTATTAAAGATGCTTATTTCTCAAAGAATATTTATTGTATAACTTATATGACGGTCCTTATTTACTGCACAGTTGCTAGGCATAACCTGAATTTCTTCTACATATATACGTCACATCTACTCATGTCCGAGCAGGAAGCAAAATTTTAAACGTCACCAAAATTGTATCGCTAGGAACAATGCTAAGGTAAATCTGAAATATATTTATGTTAATTACAAATGAGTGAAATATTTAGTTATTTTTATTAATATTATTTATTTATTTTCTTTATAGATTGTTTATCTTTCTTTGTGTGTCTCTGTGTGTCCTGACATGTTGATGCTTAATGAAAATAACAATTAATGACAAAAAACAATAACAATTGAGTGAAAAGTGTATTCACATGCTCTTCCTTGATCCTTGTTTTCAGGGTTGTTAGATTTGGCTACGTTCTACCGGGAGTCGAGACTGAAGAGGCTGTGCCAGGAGACCATCAAGAGGGGCATTTCAGAGGAGAACGCCATCACTCTGCTGTCTGCTGCGGTCAAGTATGAAGCCAAGGTAAGGCCCAAGCACTCGCGTGTGTCTGTGGGGAATGCATTTGCGTTTCAGTCCTGTAATTCTGTACGTTAAAGGTGCATTGTGTAACTTTTCTCGTGTCTGGCAAATGCTTTTCTCCAGGAGATGTTATTGCTTCATCTGGAATGTTTCACAGTGTGGTGTTAAACCTTTCTATCTTCATGGAGACCAAACCAGACCAAGTTACAGGTCAGAACTGTTCAGAGGCGACCCTTCTCACAGTCAGAGTGTCTGTTTTTCTAGATATTTTTGAGCTACAAAACCGCCAGTAAATGTTAGATAGAGCTGTTTAATGTTACACTGTGGAACATGCCAGGCATTGGGTTGAGTTGTTGTACAGTTGTATGGAGTATTGTATGAATGTAGTCCTGTATCTGTCACTGTTTGAGCGGAGCTGTTGGAGCCTGTTGGAGAATGAGCTCCTCTGTCCCTTTGTAGAGACCCTGCACGGTCTTGCCCTGATCCACTCCCGGCGGTCCAGTGAGCCAGACCGCCAATAGACCACCATTATAAAGTTAGTACATTTCCAAGTCGTTCTTTTAATTTTCTCATTAAGACACTTGCCGGAAAAAGAAAAAGACACCATGGTGGATGCCACAGACAGCCTAAACTGAATAGGCCCTATTCAGTTGATTCGACTTATAAAATGAACTGCATTTAGCCTAGTCTGAGAAATGCTACTGTGGGACTAGATCCAAACCAGAGTCCTGACCCAGCGGGAGCAGCTCTGGTTCAGGCCGGGCTCAGAGGAGCTGGAGCAGGGAGTAAGGTTAGGTGTCTTGGCCCGGAGAAGCTCGACTATTTTATTTTATTTTTTTTTTTTTTTGAGGTTTTTTAGGGAGTGTGAAGGGTTAATCGGGGGGACACTCTCTGTATTTCACTCACTGCCTGCCATAAATTGGGAAATTTATGACCTGACCACAGACAAGCCATGTTACCAGAACCTAGCTACCATCATCGGGACCGTCAATATGGCGACCAAAACTAAAAATATCACGTGACTGCAGGGTCTCTATAGTCTGGTGCCAGTGGGTGAGTTGTTGTACAATTGTAGGGAGTATTATCTCCTCTGTCCATCTTTAGCCTGGTGTAGTGGGTGAGCAGGAGTGTCCATGATAGAAGAGTAGTTTGTCCAGTGTCCCCCGTCTCTCACTGTGACAAATGTCTCCAGCTCACAACCGATCACGTGAACAGATTTATGGATCAGTTTGTCATTCCGTCCAATTTCATTTTTTACTGGTATTTGGATAAGAACCATGGAGAAACAACAACCTTTCAGTATTCCAGACAATTGTTTATCTGTGATGGTTCAACATCAGAGTGTGAAAAGGGAAAGAGTGGGCAGGACTAACATTTCGAAGTAAAGTGTACTTACCTCATGGTTCAAAATTCCTTACTACAACCCCTTTGACCGACTTACCTCTCTTTCCCAGGACCTGGAGGAGTTCTGCTTCAAGTTTTGCGTCAACCACCTCACAGCTGTCACCCAGACGCAGGCCTTCGCAGACATGGACCACGATCTTCTCAAGAACTTCATCAGCAAAGCCAGTCGTTACGGGGCCTTCAAGAACTGACCCGCGGAGTACCGTGCCCTGACACTGTGAGGCAGACAGTTCCAGGGCGCGCTACTCAACTCTACACCAAAGTAAACAGCAGACTCATGGATACTTCAAAGCCCTCACGTCCGGGAGGTAAACAGGAGAGCCAGAAGGAGGTTATCCTCTCCCTGCCCTGTGTCCTGGGTCCTGGTCCTGAAAGCAGCCCAAACACTCAAGATGCTTTGGCTCTGAACACTAGATTATATCACCAGTGGAGTCACAAGCAGAGTGTTGAAAGGTTAAAAGGCGCTGTACCAGATTTTTACTGTCTTAAAAACGTAAAAATAGAACTACCGTATTTTTCAGACTATAAGTCGCTCCGGAGTATAAGTGGCACCAGCCAAAAAATGCATAATGAAGAAGAAAAAACATATATAAGTCACACCGGACTGTAATTTTTACTTTTTGGGGGAAATTTATTTTATAAAATCGGAGACCAGGAACCAACATTTCATCTCGAAATGCAAGTTATAATAATACTTATAGAACAGATAACAACAGGCTGTTAATTTAAGAACAGTTATTCAGATAATTATAGCATAAATTACATAACATAACAAGTTTACCAAACTCTCCATCTTACTCCAAATCACTAAATCTATTGAATTTTTTATCCTCGGTGTCACTTCTGAGCAACTCCGCGACCTCCGGAGGTAAACTGAGCGCCGCTTCCTCTTCTGTGTAGCTGTCGTCAGATTAAGCATCAGTTCCAATTAGAATTATTCCGGCCTTTCACAGTCCCTCACAAGTTTCTCGCTCACTCCAAACTTTCTTTCCGCTGCTTGATTCCCGTTTTTGGCTGAATATTTCACTACTTGCAGTTTTTTCTGCAGGCGACATGTGCAGTAGATTGAAGTGACAGTGGTACAGGAGTAATAGGAGCAGCAGATACAGACACACAAGCCTAGAGCCTCTCACGGCTATCAGTGTGAAAATTTTAATATATAAGTCGCACCATAGTATAAGTCGCAGGACCACCTAAACCATGAAAAAAGTGTGAATTACAGTCCGAAAAATACGGTAATTCATTTTAAACATCTTGTAATGGTCTAAAGTTCTTCCTCACTTACCTTACACATACCGAGCATTCTAATTATTCATCACAATACATTTATAAACTCTTTACAACTTTTTGAGATTAGAGCTAAGAACAACTAGCAAGCAAACCATGTGATTCATGATTCTCTGACAATAAATTGCTTTATAATTAGATGCAAACAGTACACAGCTGACTTATTTTGACCTCAAGAGCTGCTTATATATATATAATAATACATTTGTACTGGGGTAAGACAAAGTTTGCCGAAAAATCGGGTACAGGGCCTTTAAAGACAGAAATGTGCTACAATTTGAAACCAAAAGACATAAACATTTAGAATTCTGTGCAATAATATGTTCTGCATGTAATGATACTAATACTAATACAACAGAAAAGAATGCAAAAAATTTACATTAGGTATTAATATCTGAAAATATACTGTAAAGTGCTGACAAAAGGTCAGAAAATTAAAAAATAGTTGTAATAGGGTCAAAGCACATTACCTGAACGTTAAAAAGTCAGTGTCAGTGTTTTTGAATTTCTTGTATGCAAAAAATTTGACCCAATCAATACCAGTGCGAGTTTGAATTCTAGCAATAGTTATTCTAGGAAACAATATCGTAGAAGTATATGCAGTAATATGTTTGTACTTACGCATTTTCAAGCCATATTATAGAGAGATTGAATAATGCATGAGCTCCCTCTTTATCAAACCCCAAAACCATAGAATTTGATGAAATAATAATATAAATAAAAAGTAAAAGTCATGGACTGAACCCACATATGCTGCTTTCTCCTACACCTTTTAGCCTCTCCAATAATCTCCACCGAGAGAAACATGCAAAACTGTGAAAAGATGCACTTGGAATTTCATCGCTCATATCTTTTTTTTTTTTTTTTTTTTTTTTTAATATGTATAGAACTCATATTTTATTTTTGCTACTTTATTGTGACACTTTGCCATTCACCACTACAATACGACGAGTTAAAATGGCACACAACACATTTTTTAAATTATTATTTAGTTAAAAAAATAAATCAGAAATTAAAAAATACAAACTGAAAATTTGAGTTTAACTTTTTTCCATTTTTTATTTATTTTTTTATTTTTTTTCAAATTCCAGAATAATTATCTGTCAGTAAATAAGTCAATTAATGTGGATAGATCATTTTGAAAGAAAAAAACACTATATAAACACCAATCAGAATTAAGAACCTTGAAATTACACCCAAAACAAAACAAAAAAGTCTAGATTCAAAAAGAGTGAAATCACAATAAATATTAAAAATTCAAAGTGGTCAAGTCAAGCTTTTAGGGATGGGATGAAACAAAATTTCCACAAGACAAGACTAAATTTTATCCTAATTCCTAGTATAATATATACATTTTCACGGTTCACTTTCCAATTTTGGCCTCACAGTTTTGTCATTTATTTAATTTCATAGTTTTGTCTCCAGTCTAGTACTGTTTTGTGCAAATGTAAGAGATGCAAACACATGGGGAAAATCTCATGAGATAATTTTTCTCTTGTTTGCATGAGGCAGTTTTGTCTCTTGAGATCTTGTCGCACGAGATCTTGTACCATCCATACAAGCTTTGTTTTTATAGCACATTTAAAAGCAACCTCAGTTAACTTGATATCTGAACAGACCAAAATGGTACACCCACTAAAACGTTCAAAAGTTACAGTATTGGGTTTCTGTGTATATGTGTATAATAGCGTTGTGCAATGGCAGACTGAGACACAGAGGTGCAGCTGGTCGTAAGTCTGAGATAAGGACATCCTTCTGTGTGTTTACCCCGCTCAGATTAACCCCGTCACTGCTGTTATCTGCCCTAGACAACTCAAGTGATTTCTGAGCTCTCTACAATGTTACTTTACGTTATTGTCATGTTATTTTACTGTTTACATGTTTTATATCAGTGTTTGTTTTGTTAACAGTTGTATGTGTCCATGTAATCCACTCAGCACTAAGTGATAATCAAAATATGTAGGGCTGTAACTCTTTTAACGGTGCACTGCATAACTTTTCAGATGGAGAGTTCCCTAAGTGCTTGTCTCCATGGAGATGTTATTGCTTTGCCATGGTATGACATTAAACGTATCGATCTAGCATTTATTCATACAGGTGTTTCTATTGCTCAAAAATACAGAAATTCCTTTTGTGAACAGTCTGTTTCACTTAGGATTCGTTCGCTCGATGGTAGGCGGGTATTTTTTTTCATTTAACCAATCGCTGCTATTTGGTCGTGACGTATGTAATGCGCCGCTAACAGGACAAACTGGTATATTAAGCTTTTCCCAAATCCCGTAGGAAGAAGGGCAATAACTTCTTTCCTCTTGATAAAATTCACCAAACATTCTCTTTTTTTCTGGCTTTAAATCCTCAATCTCGGGAATCATTGCCAACTCAGAATGTATGGCTCTTCGTTGATTGGCTTGTGCCCGAACTCGCACTTCTGGGGTTCTTCCAAACTGTCAAGGGTATTCTGATTCCTGACCTGGTCGCTGGAGAGAAATGAAATTGAGTTGAGGCACTAGGTTGTAATGTAGCATAGTGTTGTGACCTGCTTGTCTCCCACGTGATAGATCTTATACACAGGGTTCCCGCAGTCAGGGAAATCCTGGAAATGTCATGGAAATTGAAAATGTCTTTTTCTAGGCCTGGAAAAGTCATGTCAATTTGTAAATTTAATGAAAGTTATGGAAAAGTCATGAAATTCTAGTGTCTCTACTAAAAGTGTCTCTACTAAAGCGTAAAGAGATGACACTAAATGCACTGACAGCATTTTGAATGTTAAAAACTATAAAACCAAACCATAAGGTGAGTGGAAAGAGTTAACATTTTATATTTAGCCCTAAAAGTCTGATCAATTCTACACATGTAGGTGCCGTAAATTCATGGAAAATTCACTTTAGTCATGGAAAAGTTTAGAAATTTTGTCAGTGAAAATGAGTGGGAACCCTGTATACATGATCTAATCTATTCTGTGGAACATTCTAAACAAAGCAATCATAATAATTTCCAGGGAGAGAAGCAGGCGGCGGGCCCTTCACTAGAAATGTTACGCAATGCACCTTTTAATATAGATTATAGATAACTACTTGGGCTGCACGTTATTTGAAAATGTTGCGATACGGCTGTTTTAAACTTTAACAGAGACATAACCAGGACTAAATCAGAGCTAATTTCGGACTTAATTAGGAAAACCATTAATAAAATCAGCTTTGTGTAGCCCTAATAAGTAGCGTTTGTTGATTGTCACTGCCACAAAATTCCTGGGATAGGCCACTCATCACCACTAATGAATTAGAGTAGCTGAAATGTTTATGTTTTTTAAGAAGTTACTTTTAACCAATTCTTAAACAAAATTGGATGTTACTATGCTTTTATTTGAAAAGCCAATTTATTGTATGTATTTTTCCCTTTTTTTCTAAAATTAATTTCTGTTGATATTTTGTATTGTATATGCCTTGCCCTTACTGTGCAAGGGTCTAAACAATTAAAGAAAATGACTGAAAAATGAGATTACTGTGATTTTTTTTTTAATGTGTTTTTGTTATTATTATTTTGTTTGGCGGCATAGTATCTGTAGTGAATATTTATCATAGTGGAAAAAGAAATGCAGGAAGTAGCGTTGCGTTGTAAAACTGACTATCTCAAAGTGTGAATGAAATGTAGAAGGCCAAGAGTTGAAGAGAAGAGACATGAGGCTGGAGTTCTTCTAACACAGGAGAAGTTTATTTACATCAGGACCCAGCACAGAGACATGGGCCCTCAATAAATTATGATTGTGTCCACTGAAGTCTAGTACAGTCCAGTTTGGCTGTGCTTCCATTGTAGGGAGTATTATACCTTGAATTTCTTACTACTTATGTCATCAGCACTGAAGATTACATCAAAATGCAGGAACTATTTACACACTAAGGCATTTTTCTGACAAAATAAAGGTGTTGTAATTTATATTTATTCACCTAAGCATATTTTTAAAACATGTTTTGCGCAATCATATTTCTGATGCTGTTGGCAATTAACTTCTTACAGCGACATGTGGTTGAAGTTTGCCAATAAAAGCGCAAAAATGCATCTGTCTTTGTCACGATGTGCGTTTGGTAAATGTGCAGAGGCTAAATCCCACTGCAAAACCAGTAAGACAATGTAACTCAAGTTAGAAAAGTGAGGAAACGGGTTTTAAAATCCTACACACTTTCTTCGCTTTCTTCACAGTTTTGTGTAAAGTGCCAGTGGAAGTTCTCTTAAAGAAGGGTTTCTCAAACTGTGGGTGAGGCGCACAGAGTGTTTCTGTGTAGTACAGTTTGCTTGGCTTATTTTATGCTTAAATGAACATTAATCAGATCATCAATGGAGATAGATTCATAAAAACATTGACAGTGTTGGGAAGGTTACTTTTAAAATATATTCCCGTACAGATTACAGATTACACACCCCAAAATGTAGTTTGTAACGTAATCCATTAAGTTACTTAAGGTGAGTAACATGATCTGAATACTTTGGATTACTTGATTTGCTGTAGAGAAGCAAAGACGAGGATATCGTAACGTATGGTGTTTTGTCTGCTAAAAGAAAATAAAAAGCCCAAACTTTACTTAACCGTATTAAAAATATTATTGACAGAAGAGGAGGAGACACGTCCTGTTTAGTCCTGTTAAATCCTGTTTTAGTCCTGGTTTAATCCTGGTTTAGTCCTGGTTTAGTCCTGGTTTAGTCCTGGTTTAGACCTGGTTTAGACCTGGTTTAGACCTGGTTTAGACCTGGTTTAGTTTTCGGCAATGAGTGGAATTACGAAAAAAAAAAAAAAAGAAGGGGGATATAGCCCAAAATGCGAAAACAGGAAAATACCACAGTGTAATCCATTTATTTCAACAAAGTAACTGTAATCCAATTACCACTCACTGAAACAGTAACTGTAACCGAATAAAGTTGTACTCTGATTACGTAACTCCGGTACATGTAATCCGTTACTCCCCAACAATGAACATTGATATATATGTGCCAAAATAAATGTAGAAAATGACAAAGATGGTCTCGATTTGGTCTCTATGGGCCGCGGTCTTGGTCTTGTCTCGGTCTCGTCTCGGTCTCAACCTTTAAAAGTGTTGTTCTTGTCTTGGTCTTAGACTAGATTAGATTAGTGCGGTCTACATAATGATTGCTATGGGTAACAGTTATGGGTTTGTCAAACTAGACATGATATTTAAACCCTAAATATGATTATTTTAACCATGTTTTTGTGGTATGTACGAGTGGTGTAACCTGCCGTATGCACTTAAATGGTATATCATGTAGTACAATACGTGCATGTGTTTGCGTTTTAAGACATTATTCTCGGTACAAAAGGATCCCTGCTCCACAGACCTGTTATGGTCATTCTCCAGGACTGCGGCTTTTGTATTAACTCCTCTATGTTTTCATACAAGAGCCAGAAATGTGGGCTCAAGTACAAAAATGGTCATGCTAGCAGACTTAGCAGTGATTAGATCTGCTTTGAGGATTGTGAAGTTTAGAAACGGCAAAATGAAAAGATGGAAAGCACCTGGTATTATGCAATAACTAGTTTTCATATTGGGACATTCTTCTACTGCTACTACAACTCCTTCTGATGCAATGTTTTTTCTAGAAAGACAATCTTCCTCAAATCTATAACGGCACCACAAACCGTCACATCGAGTCACAGTTTTGCAATGCGTATTAAACATTGCGATAAGCTTAGTTATAACCACAGGGCACACGGTTCGGAACAAATTGTAGTGTGGTGATTTACAGATTACAGAACGCAATTATGTCAGTTTCCCTCTTGATTACGTTGCACTTTGACACAAACTATCTAAAAGGTGACTTCAGAAATGTTGATCATTTCTATAAGACTAGATTTAGACTTAGACAAACTTTATTGATCCAAAAAGGAAATTATTTGGACACGGAAGCTCACACATCACAATATAATATAATAACAAAGAGCAAAAATATAGATGGTAATAATAATTCTAAATAAATAAGTAGCAAAAAAGATGGCAAGAGACATTTGTCAACTAAGATATAATTATATAACTGTAAATATATAGTAAAAATAAAATAAGTAATATAATATAAAATCTCAGCTTTATACAAGAGGTCATAGGAACACAACAATGATAAGATGATTGACAGGACATGAGGTGAGTTGTTGTACAGTTGTAGGGAGTATTATCTGTTACATAAGGGTGAGTTGTTGCCCTTGAACGGAATTATAACAGAAATCTACATTTTAACAATATTCGTTTTACCTGCTAGCCAGATTCATCAGCCGGTTTCACTTCGTGGAAACTGTCTGACCTCGCAGCATTAGGATTCATTCGCTCGACAATAGGCGGGTACTTTTTTATTTAACTAATCGCTACTGTTTGGTCGTGACGTATGTAATGCACCACTAATGGGGCTAACTGGTATAATAAGCTTTTCCCAAATCCCGTAGGAAAAAAGGCAAAAACGTCTTTCCCCTTGATAAAATTCACCAAACATTCTCTTTGTTCTGACTTTAAATAATTGATCTCGGGAATCGTTGCCAACACAGAATATATATCTTCGTCTACATCCATCTTGACCGCTTTGTTTACAGTTGTGCTGTACCACAAAAGGGACCCAGACAGACGCTTGAGTTTGACGTCATGGCTTCACAGCTCTTCGCTGACTGGCCGGTGCAGGTCTACAACTTCTTGCAAACCATCTAGTGTATTCCGATTCCTGACCTAGTCACTGGAGAGAAATAAAATTGAGCAGAGGCACTAGGTGGTGCCAGCCTGACTATTTACCTGCCCCCATCTGTATTAAATATTATTGGCCTATAGAATGTAGTGATATCATCTGAATCCCAGCCACTGAAAAGTAACCCATAGTCCCACCTTGTGACCTTTTATCCCAAAAATTGACTTCAGTATGAACTTTTTTTATTTTTATGTTTTTATTCTACAGAAAATAAACTTATTTCTTTATTTCTTTTTTATTTAATAGGGACAGTGCATATTAATGAACATATACAACACTGCTGTGTAAATATGCCAGATTATAGCAAGAATGTTCATTTCCATCTGTAGTCCCTAGACAGGTAACACCACAAACTTACCAGAAAAAACAAAAACAAGTAAAACACTAAAAGGTGTCCACAAGTCTGGTTTTCCTTTAGCCATTGTTTCATTTAGGACTTGAAAGTGGCAAGTGTTGGAGAATCACAATCTTGACTCCTGTTGGGTCTGGAGAAGCTTATTTATCTCCATAGAGTATGGTTTTAACTTTCTTTTTCCATGGAATCATGTACTAAACCAGGAACTAAACCAGCCTTGTCCGTGCTGCTGTTCTGTTAAATGTAAATGTTTTATCAGTTGACACTCGAGTCGGAAGTGCTGCAGCTGCCAACTGTCTCTGGCACTCTGCCATCACCCCACACGACGAGAGGTGAGTTTGTTAAAGGAAATATAATGAATTAGTACTTTTTATCTTGTTAAAAAATCATTTTGTAGTAGTGAAAGTAGTGGTACTTAAATTATTTACACACTACACCAACACAGAGGTATTATTATAAGTGTACTATTTTAAGGTGCACTGTGTAACTTTTCTTAGACTTAGACTTAGACAAAACTTTATTGATCCACAAGGGAAATTATTTGGACACAGTAGCTCACACATCACAATATAATATAATAACAAAGAGTAAAATTATAAATGGTAATAATATATTTTAAATAAGTACCAAAAAAGTAGCAATAAAGATAACAAGAGACACGTGTCAAATAAGGCATAATTTCTGGTAGAAGGTCCAGCCTCTGCTTATCCCCAGGGAGATGTAATTGCTTGACTGGTTGTCACAATGGAGACAAGTTACTAGTCAGATCTGTGGAGAAGTAATCCTGCACATAGTATGAATTCATGTATTTCATTTCATCATTTCATTTTTGAGCTATAAAGTATCTGTAACTGAATACATGCAAGGCCGATAAGTTTAATGCCATACTGTGCAGCATCTTTAAGTGACAGTAACTTAAAGAGTAACTGTAACATCTGATTTATAAATTGAAGTTTATGTAATTTGAAATGCAAAACATTAAACTAGGAGTGTCAAACTCAAATTCACAGAGAGCCAAAATTAAAAAACTGGGACTAAGTCATGGGCCAAACTAAATATTTACAGGAAAATTTCAACAACATCTGCATGTTTTCTCTTCTTTCGAGATGTGAAATGTTAAAGCTTTTCTTATTAAAATAAATGTTTAATAATAGTTTTGCTTAAACATTGAATCCAGAACAAGCAAAATATAAAATAATAACAAAATTTTAAATAAATAATGTCTCTATAGTCTATCTGTAGCCGGTGGGCAGATCTAATACATATTTGATATAATCTCACGGGCCAAATATAATTATATCATGGGCAAAAATCAAAATCTGTGGAGAAGCAAGTCTGCAAATAGTATTGAATTCATGTTTTTCATTTCATCATTTCAATTTCGAGCAATAAAACATTTCTAATTT